TAACCGAGATTCCACACTGCCCCATTGAATAAAATGAGCTAATCCGTGTAAAACCACACTGTAAACTGCGAGACACATATACATTTTTTATTATGAATTTTTACTGGACTCCCACTAATTAAATGTGATTGTCTCTGCCTCTGAAGTCCATCAAGGCCTTCATGACACCCAGCCTCATTACCCATACCAAGACTCTGGGACCAAGCTGTAAAACCTTGGGCAAGGTCATTAACCTCGCTGTGCTTCAGGTTTCCTCCTAGTAAAATAAAGCTAATGGCCAGGGGCGCGGTGGCTCACGCCTGTAATCCTAGCACTCTGGGAGGCCGAGACTGGCGGATTGCTGGGGGTCAGGAGTTCAAAACCAGCCTGAGCAAGAGCAAGACTCCATCTCTACCATAAATAGAAAGAAACTAATTGGCCAACTAATATATATAGAAAAAATTAGCCAGGCATGGTGGCGCATGCCTGTAGTCCCAGCTACTTGGGAGGCTGAGACAGGAGGATTGCTTGAGCCCAGGAGTTTGAGGTTGCTGTGAGCTAGGCTGACGCCACGGCACTCACTCTAGCCTGATCAACAAAGCAAGACTCTGTCTCAAAAAAAAATGGAGCTAATAATGGTACCTGCCTCATGAGAAATTGGTTAATTCTGGTAAAACACTTAGAGAGCCTGGCCTAGAGCAAGCCAGAGTGAGTATGATTTATTTCTGTGTGCCCCACAGTGCAATGAATCCTTTTTAAATTTTTATTTGTTTTTAATTTGTATAAATTTGTGGAATGCAAGTGCAATTTTGTTACATGCATAGATAGTGTAGTGGTCAAGTCAGGGCTTTGAGGGTGTCCTTCCCCTGAATAATATACATCATAACCATTAAGTACATTAAGTAGTTTCTCATCATCCGTCCCCTCCTGCTCCCTTGCCCTCCCAAGTCTCCATTGTCTATTGTTCCACTCTCTCTGTCCATTGTTTGGCTCCCACTTAAGAGTGAGAACATGCAATATTTGTCTTTCTATGTCTGACTTGTTTCACTTAAGATAACGACTCCAGTTCCATCCATATTGCTGCAAAAGACATGATTCGTGTTTCATTCTGTTTTTAATGACTGAATAGTGTTCCATTGTGTATATTTACCACATTTTCTTTCTTTCTTTCTGAACTGGACATACAGAAATGAGCAGGTGTGAGGTCATCCTTGAGGGTCACACAGCCTACAGCAGTGGCTTTATATCTTTGACATCATGGCCAAAGATACACACACAGACACATCCACAGGCGAACACCGGTGTCGTGGGGCAGTTCACATCTTTATGTGATGTACTCTGCTATTTTCCGTTCTAGTCCATTCTGTTCCATTCAGCATGCTGGCTGAACGCTCGAATTCAATGCCCACTGATAGGTCACCACCCTCGTCTGAAAAAAGCCTGATCTAATGGGAGAGGAAATGAATGAGTAAAAAGACAGTTGTAGAGCAGTGTGGCGAGTTCTTTGCGAGCTGCCGGTACCGTAGGTGGCACAGTGCAGAGACGGGCACTAGTCAGCTCAGGCTGCCGTGACAAGATACCACAGACCTGGGCTCTTAAAGGACAGAAGTTTCTTTTCTCACAGGTCTGGAGGCCAGAAATCCAAAAGCAAGGTGCCAGCAGGTTTGGTTTCTTCCGAGGCTCTTTCCTTGGCTTGCAGATGGTCACCCTCTCCCTGTGTCTTCACGTGGCCGTCCCTCTGCGCCCCGGCGCATCTCTGCGTGTCCACATTTCCTCTTCTGATGGGGACATTAGTCAAACTGGATTAGGGCCCACCCTAATCGGCCTCATTTTAGCTTAATCACCCCTTTAAAGGCCCTGTCTCCAAATATAGTCGCATATTGAGGTCCTGGGGGTTGGGGCTTCAATACAGAAATTGTTGGGGAGACACAGTTTGCCTTATAATTGGCACCTTCCCCAGCCTGAGGGAGGCAGGGGGAACAGGCAGAGAGTCTTGGGAGAGCGTGGGCAGCAGGGACGTGTGCTGGAGGGTGCGGTGTGACATAGGGGGTGGCAGGCTGCAGACTTTAGCTTGCAGAGCACTGAGTCTCAAGCATCAGTGCACAGCAGGATCGCTGGGGCGCTGTGACAAGTGCAGGGGTCCCTGGTGGGGAGGTTCTAGAAAGCCAGTGTCCCAGATGGGCCAGACCCCCACACTCTTGGAAAAGAAGCTGTAGGCACCCTGACCAGCCTCAGACAGGGGCCTGACACCGGCCGAGTTACAGAGGACAGATTGGAGGGGCAAGAATGGAGACAGAGAGGCCACTCGGGTGGCTGTCCTGAGTGTCCCACCCAGAACAGATGAAGTCTGAACTGACAGTGATAGCATTTGCCTTTTAGGTAGCGTTCCCCACAGGCTGGGAGCCAAGCCTGCGCTGAGCACCCTTTCTGGGCAATCTTGCCGATTTCTCAGGACAGTCTTGTGCGGTAGGCATCGTTATCATTGCTATTTCACAGTTGAGAGAGCTGAGGCTCAGAGAGGCGGAGAGACTTGCCCAAGGTCACACAGCTAGGGTGTGTGTGTGTGTGTGTGTGTGTGTGTGTGTGTGTGTGTTGGCAGAGACAGACCTGGATCTCAGTCCTGTTCTCTGGACAGCCACAGAGGGGATGGCAAGATTGGTGGGAGCTGTGGGGACATAAGTGGGCAGGACTTGGTGACAGGTGGAATGCGGGTGATGAGGGAGGAGGATGAGTGACATGTGGGCAGTTCCAGGGCCCTAATTCTCCATGTTGCCAGTCAAAGGTGGGAGGGGGCCCAGCCTCCGCTCTCCTCTGCCTCCCCCTTCCCTGCTGCTCCTGGGGCCTCCCAGTGCCAGGTCGTTTGTGTGTGACGGATGCAAGTCTGCTGGGGCTTGTTACCTTATCTGCCCATTTAGTGACTGGAGGGGTTGTTTTAGTGCAGTCTGTCCCCTCCTTTCCTGCAGCCAGAGTGTGAAGCCTCTGATGTCGTTCCGTGGTGGGTGCAGCCTTGGGGACCCACAGTCACCTGGGTGAGCGGTGGCCTTGGCAGGACTCTCTTTGACTGACCCTTTCCCTGACCACACCCAGCCGTCAAGCTCCACTAATGGCCAGCTGAGCTCTCTCTATTTCTGTATTTTCAACAATACTCATAAACTGCTCCACACACGGACCCAATCAAACTCAGACTCCCTGGAGGAAATAGTCCCCAGGGCTGGTGTTTGAGATTTGCTCTGACTCCAGGAGGATCTTCCAGTGCCTCTTTCCCCAGCTCCTCTCCAGACCCGCCAGCCCAAAGCCCAGCCTGTGCCCCTCCCCCCAGTCCATCCATCTCCTCCCTGTTGCCTTTCATCACACCCTCTGCTGTTTTTTTTTTTTTTTTTTTGAGACAGAGTCTCACTTTGTTGCCCAGGCTAGAGTGAGTGCCGTGGCGTCAGCCTAGCTCACAGCAACCTCAATCTCCGAGGCTCAGTGATCCTTCTGCCTCAGCCTCCCAAGTAGCTGGGACTACAGGCATGCGCCACCATGCCCAGCTAATTTTTTGTATATATATTTTTAGTTGGTCAATTAATTTATTTCTATTTTTGGTAGAGACGGGGGTCTCACTCAGGCTGGTTTCGAACTCCTGACCTTGAGCAATCAGCCCGCCTCAGCCTCCCAAAGTGCTAGGATTACAGGCGTGAGCCACCACACCTGGCTCCTCTGCTGTTTTGAGAGAGTGCTGGGGCTTGAATTTCAACTTCTCCACAACCTGTTGCAAATAAAATCAGTTCCTTAGGAGAAGGATTTGGAGCCCTCTCTCTTTTCTCTCTCTCATCCACTTCTGTCCCCACGGGGAATCTCTGAGCCAGGGCGCTGGTGCTGGCAGGAACAACACGTGATTCTCTCTGAGTGACACCCCCACTTTGGGAGCTGCATGCTTGGTGGAGGGACAGTGCAGCAGCCCCAGGCCTCCTCAGCTGCCCCAACTTCCTCCTGAGTGGAACCCCGGCTCCACAAGCTGGGGCAAGGGTGACTGGCACCCTAAGTATTCTCAGGGGCTCCATGCCCGAGGTTGAGCCTTCATCCCACAGTGGGGGCTGAGTGGAAGAAGGGAGCCCCCACCTCCCAGCTCCACTCACCCAGAACAGAGCCTCAACACCAGGCAGCTGTGGCAGGCTGAGAGCTGCTGCTGCCAGCCCCTCCTGCAAGACAGCCCTCTGGGCTGGAGCTTGGGACAGAGGGAGTCCTGCAGCCTGGCAGCCCCAGTGCAGAATGCTGGAACTCGGGAGGGAGCGAGGGGGGTGAGGGGGTGGGCCTCGATTTAAATACCAGACTCCCTTTTCTTACTTAGTTTGTTTGTTTTTTTGTTTTTTGAGACAGAGTCTCACTCTATTGCCTGGGCTAGAGTGCCATGGCATCAGCCTAGCTTACAGCAACCTCAAACTCCTGGGCTCAAGCGATCCTCCTGCCTCAGCCTCCCGAGTAGCTGGGACTACAGGCATGCACCACCATGCCCGGCTAATGTTTTCTATAAATTTTTAGTTGGCCAATTAATTTCTTTCTATTTTTAGTAGAGACGGGGTCTCGCTCTTGCTCAGGCTTATTTCAAACTCCTGACCCTGAGTGACCTGCCTGCCTCAGCCTCCCAGAGTGCTAGGATTACAGGCGTGAGCCACTGTGCCTGGCCTCTTACTGAGTTTTAATAGGTTTTTTTGATAAATGTTTCTTCACTTGCCGTACTCTCCTAGGACCATTTTTTAAATGGTTGTTTGTTCGTTTGCTTTAAATTTTCACCAGTTTGCTTGGGGAAGGGGGTCATCCTGCAGAGCTCCTCATTCTGTCGGCCCAGAAGCAAAACCTCAAAGTCATATTTTTCAAATTAACCCATATTCTTGCATTTGGCTGCAATTCGTTCATTTTCATTAGTAATACACAATTTGTTTGTCTGATAAGGGCATTGGATGCCCTATAACCAATGGATGGACGACTTTCGAGTCAGGTGCCCATCTATGGTCCAATCAGATGTGAGGGAAAGGGGGAAGGGTCTCCTAGCAATAGGAAGCCTGGTCCCACATTTCAGCGGGTGATCTGAAGCTATGGATGAAACTTCTTTCACTTTATTCTCATCGAGGGGTGGGGTCCCAGTTCCTCCCCTTGAATCTGGACAGGCTCGTGATCACTTTGATCAATAGACCAGAAATGACACTATGTGACATTGTGGCTTTCGTCTTTGACTCTTATTGTGTTAGAGAATCCAGTCGCTGTGCTGCAAGGACACTCAAGCAGTCCTCTGCAGAGGTCCACACGGAGAAGGACCGAGGCCTCCTGCCGACAGCCTGCACTGGCTTTGAAGTGGACCCTCCAGCCCTGTCAAGCTGTCTTATGACTACGCCCCAGCCGGCCTCTTAACTGTAACTCCATGAGAGGCTCTGGGCTGGAACCACCCAGTGTAGGAAAACAGCCCGTTGTATGGCAAGAGAGATGCCTTCTCTTTTTTTTTTTTAGAAACTCATGTTTATTTTCCATCAACCTTATTTCCATTGTTAAGGGTTTGTAGAAGAACTTTAAGACCACGCAGTGGTTGTTCCCACCCATTCAGTGGCCTGAGCAGTGGGAGCTGCAGACCAGTCTTCCGTGGCAGGCTGAGCGCTCCAGTCTTCAGTGGGGAACTGCACAGAGGGCAGCTGCATGCCTTCAGACCAGTCTGCAGCCTCGGGCTGAGTAGCAGTAAACTCAGGAGCTGGAGCTGTCCATTCACCCTGAAACTCCTCTTTGGTCACAGCTTTCTCGGCGGCAGCTTGCTCTTCCTTCTCAATCTCTTCAGGATCTCTGTAGAAGTAGAGATCAGGCATGACCTCCCACGGGTGTTCACGGGAGATGGTGCCACGCATGCGGAGAACTTCCCGGGCCAGCATCCACCACATCAGACCCACAGAGTGAGCCCCGTTGTTGTTGCGTGCGATGGCAATGTCCACGGAACACAGAGGAGAATCTGTGTTACACAGAGCAATGGTAGGCAGGTTAACATAAGACGCCTCTGTGAGAGGCTGTTGGTCAGCCCTGGGGTCAGTAACCACCAGAAGACGCGGCTCCCGGAACGCTGCCTGGATCTGGTCAGTGAAGGTTCCAGGAGTGAAGCGGCCAGCAATAGGAGTGGCTCCAGTGGCAGCAGCAAACTTCAGCACAGCTCGCTGGCCAGTGTTCCTGGAGGATATGACACTGACATCAGCAGGGTTTTCAATGGCAACAATGGCACGAGCTGCCAACAGAAGCTTCTCCCAGGTCCTCTTCAGATCTATGATGTAGATGCCATCAGTTTTCCTTTTGTAGATGTACTGTTCCATTTGGAGGTCAAGGTGGGTTCCTGCAGCAGGGAATTTGAGGACATCCTCCTCCTTCATTTGCAGGACATCAAGGGCTCCGGACATCGTGAAAGTTTCCCTTTAAGTTACGACGGGAATCCAGAACAACGCCATATGGGCCCCTTCCGTGGGTAGCGGGGAAAAGCAAGAGATGCCTTCTTGAAACAAAAATGCCACCATCACCAGTGTTTGACTTCCGCACACCAAGGTGCTCTGCAGTGAAGTGTTTCAACAGTGCCTAGGTAACCCCCTCATAAAGATACTTACCTGACCTCCCCAGTGGTCACGAGTCTTGGCAAGAAAGTCTGAAGACATGACCAGCTGCACGTGTTCTACCCTAAACGCTTGCCATATAAAGAATACTTTCTGTAGGCCGGGTGCAGGGATCTGCTCTCTTGCAGCCTCCCAAGACATTGCTTCTGTTTGTAAGTCCCTATTAAATAAATGTCTCTTTCCATGAAACCAGGTTTGTCAGTCTCTTTCTTTTTCTTTCTTTTTTTTTTTTTTTTTTGGTCAGTGTCTTTCTTTAGCCGCTCAGCTCCCTTGGCCTTTGGGGGTAGGTTGGCATAGACCTGCTTACCTTGGAACACCCAGCTAAACTGTTTCTGAACCCCCAAACCTTCACAAACTGTTTGAGGTTATAAATGCTTACTGTTTTAAGCAGCTTGGTTTGGGGTAATCTGTTACTCAGCAATAACTAATACAGATTTGGCGCCAGGAGTGGGGTAAATAACAAATGCCTGAAAATGTGGGAGTGGCTTTGGAACCGGGTGATGAGCAGAGAGTAGAAAGACTTTGAGGATAGTGTTACAGGCAAAAGTCTGAAAGCCTTCGTATTAGTTATCTACTGCTGTTTGCCAGTGCACCACAAACGTAGCAGCTTAAACAACACATATTTATTGCCTCACAAATTTCTGTGGGATCAGGAGTTCAGGCATGGCTAGGCAGGGTCCTCTGCCTAGGGTCTCACATGGCTCAAATCAAGGCGTTGTCTAGGGCTGTGGTCTTATCTGAGGCTCAACTGGGGAAGGATCCATTTTTGTTGGCAGAGCTCAATTCCTTGCAGTTCTAGGACCAAGCTTTTTGGTTCTCTGCCGGACGCTAGCTGAAAGCCATCCTCAGCTCTGAGAGATTACCCTTGGTTCCTTGACACATGGGCCTCCCAATACGGACAGCCCACAAATGGCAGCTTGCTTCTTCAAAGCCAGCAAAGGAGTGAGACAGAGAGGTTCCCTGTAAGACAGGTGCTACAAACCTGTGTGACACAATCACACCGTCACTAATCATGTACACCCCTCACTTTTGCCAGACACTGTTGCTTAGAAGCAGGTCACAGGTCCTGCCCCCCGACTCAAAGGGATGGAATTACACATGGGTGTGGATTCTGGGAGGTTAGGGTCATGGGGCTACCTTCTGAGTCCCTCTGCCACAGCCTTAGGGATACTGTCAGCAGAAGACTGATGGCCTTTGATAAGGCTGACAGTGGGGGCCGAAAGGAAAGTGGGAAAATGTCATTGGATCTCAAGGCAAGAAGATCCTTGTTACACAGTGGCAGAAAATTTAGAAACATTATCACATGTGGTCATGTGGAAAGTAGAAAATGTGCGTGATGAACTGCATGGTCTAGCAAAGGAGATTTCCAGGCAAAATGGTGAAGGTACCACCTAATTTCTTCTTCCTGCTTAGACTAAAATGTAAAGGGCAAGCTATAAACTGACAAAGCACCGTTAAACCAAAGAGGATTTGATGGTTTAAAAAACCCCCAGCTTCTCCAGCCAGCAAAAATGCTAAGATTAAGAAATGGCTTCTGGGAAAAGATCAAATACAGGACAATGTAGCATAAAGTCAAAGCCACGGGTACAGCTATAGAACCATTCTGTCAAACAATAAGGCTTCTGGGAACATCAAGGGAGTTGTCAATCAGCGTAAGGCCATGGCAGAGAGGAGCTTATCTCAAAGAGATTTGTAGGTATAGTCTAAAGGAGGGAATATGATTCATAGAAATCCATAGCGTTTTTAAGAGGATTACATTGGCTGAAACATTGCCAATTTGGACTGTAAAGGACAGTGTTGGCCTGGCGTGGTGGCTCACGCCTGTAATGCTAGCACTCTGGGAAGTCAAGGCAGGCGGATTGCTCGAGGTCAGGAGTTCGAAACCAGCCTGACCAAGAGCGAGACCCCGTCTCTACTATAAATAGCAAGAAATTAACTGCCCAGCTAAAAATATATATAGAAAAAAAAATGAGCCAGGCATGGTGGCACATGCCTGTAGTCCCAGCTCCTCGGGAGGCTGAGGCAGGAGGATGGCTTGAGCCCAGGAGTTTGAGGTTGCTGTGAGCGGGGCTGACACTACGGCACTCACTCTAGCCTGAGCAACAGGGCGAGACTCTGCCTCAAAAAAAAAAAAAGAAAGAAAAAGACAGTGTAAATGGGAAAGAGGCATTTGGGCCCCCAAACTTCTACAGACAGGCTGCAGGCAAACAAAACCACTCAGCTGCAGGCACAGCTACCTTTCATGACAAAGGAAGGATGGCTCAGGGGGTAGAACCAAGAGCTCAGAGGGTGGAGCCAAGAGCCATGAGTAATTATTCTCAGGCTTACAGACTTCTGTATTAAGACTAAAACTTGCGGTCTTAATCAACAGACTGCCAGCTTGTGTCCGGCTGAATTTCACAATTGCCAGGCACCAGTGACTCCTGCATGCCTCCCCTAGTCCCACCCTTTGAACACAAAGGTATATGCAGCAGTGACCCTATGTCTGTCCCGCCACTGTCTGTTGGGTGTGCAGGGGGAAGATAACATATCTCTTTAGTTCACAGGTTTCCAGATGGAGAGGAACTGTACTCGAGGGGCTGTAGCCAAGGAACCGTATCTGAGTTGCCTCCTGCACACCTGGACCTGCTTAAGATGATGAGGCTCTGGATTTCCAGCTAATGCAGTGACGGGGTGTGGGGTGGGAGGGGAGCCAGAGGGCAGTCTGTGGTAGCCGGCCTCGGAGATGACCCTCAGTGCTCCCTGCCTGCCGGCACGCCCACCCTTGCATAGGCTCCTCCCACACTGGCTGTATTCTGTGCAACCAATAGTACATCACAGAAATGATGGTGTCTGGCTTTTGAGGCTAGCTTACAAAAACCCCCAAAAAACCAGACACAGTGCCTCACACCTGTAATTTTAGCACTTTGAGAGGCTGAGGCAAGAGGATCTCTTGAGGCTAGGAGTTTGAGACCAGTCTGGGCAACATAGCGAGACCCCGGTCTCTATAAAAAAGAAAAGAAAAAAAAAAATACATGTAGCTTCAGTCTTGCTGTCTTGGATCACTCACTCTACGGGATCCAGCTATCATGGTGTGAGCACATTCAAGCAGCCCAAGGAGACGTTTATAAGCAGAGGAATGGTTGCCTCTCACCAACAGGCAGCACTCGCTTGCCGGGTGCATGGGTGAGTCTCCTGGGAAGGGGGTCCCCGGGCCCCTGCTAAGCCTCCACATGATGACAGCTCCAGCTGACACTGGACTACAACCTCATGAGTGACCCCAAGCCACAGCCACCCAGCTAAACTGCTCCAAATTTCTGACCATCAGAAACTGAGTAAGATGAGAAATATTTACTATCTAAGCCACTAAGTTTTGGGATACCTCGTAATGCAGAAACAGGCAGGCACTGAGATGAGCTGTTTACAGAACCCTTTGGTTTAATCCCCAATGACCCCAGGCGGGGTCCCATATATTCAAGCCATTAGGCTTTTCATTATAAAAGGAGGCATATGAAATGGGCCTGGTGGTGGCGCCTGTAGTCCCAGCTACTCGGGAGGCTGAGGCAGGAGGATCACCTGAGCCCAGGAGCTGGAGGCTGCAGTGAGCTGTGATTGCATGACTGCACTCCAGCCTGGGTGACAAAGTGAGACCCTTTCTCTAAGAAAAGAAAGATAAGTAAATATAAGGGGGCATAAATTATAACTTCCATAGCCTTCTAGACTAGAAGTCAGCAAACTTTTCTTTTTGTAAGGGACCAGACAGTAAATATTTCAGACGTTGAGAGCCATACAGACTCTCCCACAACTGTTAATACTTGACTCTGCTGCTGTCCCATGCGGTACATGAGCTACTGAAAGCTGCCCCATGCGGTACATGAGCTAGTGAAAGCTGCCCCATGCGGTACATGAGCTACTGAAAGCTGCCCCATGCGGTACATGAGCTAGTGGGTGCGGCCATGCGCCCAGGAAACGCTGTTTACAAAATGCAGGCAGCAGGCTGGGTCAGGCCCCGGGGGTTGTAGTTTGTTCACCCCTGTTCTAGAACTAAACGTTGTCTCTCTGTTGCCATGGCACCTGTCGGGAGACAACGCAGTTAAGTTCCAGCTTTTCTCAGTCATCTCAGATTATACTCAGTTCTTCTGAGTCTGCGGGGCCCCTCACTTCTCTCCTAATTGGAATGGCCTCTCGTTTTCAGGGACTTCCCTACCGTCATGCCACTGGGAGGAGCAAGAGGCCTGTGGACTGGTGTCCCTGTGGCCTAGCTGTCTTCATCACCAGCTTCTACTGAGATACCTGCATCTTACTGGGCTCTAGTTGTCAATCCAGGTGCCCTGAGCCACCCTCCTGTCAGCTATGAGATCCCTTAGGACACTCCAGCCTTCCTGAGCGTTGCAATTTTGCGGCACAGAAATATCGAGTTAATTTCCCAGGCCACTGTGCATCTCTAAGACAAACCCACAGGCTGCTATTGTCGTTCTGCTGCCAGGGCTCTCCTCCAAAGCCATAGCCTGAGAAGTGAGGCCAAGGTCTCCTCTGCTCGGGGTCCCCAACTACATCTGTGTGGCCTGTCTTTCCCCAAACCCAGCCTCCGCCCTAGCCAGGCCACAGAGGCAGAGCCCAGCGCCGCAGCTCTCCCTCCCCTCCAAATCTCCTAGCCCAGAAAGAGTTTACTGCTGCTGCTTCTTGCTTTTTCAACATCTTTTCTTAACTAGGTACACAACTGCTCTTCCAACTGCTTATGCCGGCCCCTTCCCTTCAGGCACTTGAACCCAAGAATTAAAGAAATAAAGTTTTTATCCCATTCCTTTCTTTGCCTCTTTTTTGAAGCAATCGGGACAAGATCTAGACTGAAGAGAGAGAAGGGCCGAACAACGGGGTTTCAGAACAAAACTGCAAAATCGTCATCCACCAGAGGTAGGCACCGTTATTATTATTGCCGTTTTACAAATAAGGAACCTGAGGCCCAGAGAGGTTGAGAAGCTGGAGTTCTTGAGACAGAGCACTGGGTTGAGAGCCAGAAGCCATGGCTGGGACGTGGGCATCTGTGTCTGCAGGTGGTGTCCCAACTCTTCACTCTTCTACCCTGTCACAGACAATGCTGGGACAGGGACAACCCGGCCCCCTGAGGCCCCTTGTGGTCCAGCTGTGCCCGTGCAGCTCCATCCCGGGAGAGACCTCTGCCTGGTCCCCCGAGTAC